CACGCTATCTCCTTTTTGGAAAGACACCACCGGAGACACAGGTCAACTCCACTGAAGTGTTGAATCGAGATAGTCTCGTTGATGTCAGACGGCCCCCTGACAATAAGCCACGGAAGCTCTAGACGATACCAGATGATAAAGGGTCGGTTGATGGAAAGTTAGGCCCGCGGCCTTGCTCCTAACACATTTACGCAAATTCTATCATTAAACCCAACCTGTGGGGAATGATATTGGTTCTGAATGGCTCACCATGTACACTTTGCACTTTTGTAAGTAATGCAAAGATTCGTGTTTACTCACCGTGAAATCCAGCTCAAAAGTATTCCAAATAAAGTCTCCGGATTCGGAGCGCCCTTCGTGGATATCACGATTGGCCGACAAAGCCTCCGGATTCGGAGTGCCCTTCGTGGATGTCACGATTGGCCCAATATAGTCTCTGGATTCGGAGCGCCCTTCGTGGATATCACGATTGGTTGACAAAGCCTCCGGATTCGAAGCGCCCTTCGTAGATATCACGATTGGCCGATTAAAGTCTCCGGATTTGGAGCCCCATCTGCGCATGACGTCTTTAGGCTGACAAAGTCTCCGGATTCGGAGCACCCTTCGTGGATATCACGATTGGCTGACAAAGCCTCCGGATTCGGAGCGCCCTTCGTGGATGTCACGATTGGCCCAATAAAGTCTCTGGATTTGGAGCGCCCTTCGTGGATATCACGATTGGCCGACAAAGCCTCCGAATTCGGAGCGCCCTTTGTGGATATCACGATTGGCCAATGAAAGTCTCCGGATTCGGAGCCCCATCGGCGCATGACATCTTTGGACTGACAAAGTTTCCGAATTTGGAGCGCCCTTTGTGGATACCACTATTGGCCGACAAAGCCTCCGGATTTGGAGCGCCCTTCGTGGATGTCACGATTGGCCCAATAAAGTCTCCGGATTCGGAGCGCCCTTCGTGGATATCACGATTGGCCGACAAAGCCTTGGCCGATTAAAGTCTCCGAATTCGGAGCCCCATCGGCGCATAACGTCTTTGGGCTGACAAAGTCTCCGGATTCGGAGCGCCCTTCGTGAATATCACGATTGGCCGACTAAAGCCTCCGGATTCGGAGCACCCCTCGTGGATGTCACGATTGGCCAAAGTCTCCGGATTTTGAGCCCTATCGGCGCACGACGTCTTTGGGCCGATAAAGCCTCCAAATTCAGTTGACCAGTGCCATCGAGCGGCGCTCAAGGGCCGAGTAATATTCCGAATTCGGAGGGCCCTCCAGAATGAAAACATTTACACATCAAAGTAGGGATATGTAGGTTGAACCGGCACAACCGCGTGAACAAGACAAAACATTCCAGCATTCAAAATAAGATGCTTAATTAAGCATACAAAAATTCAGAATGAGATAAACTTCTAGAATGAAACATTTTATTCGATTAAGTAGTAATTACAAAAAACGCAATCCACGTTCGAAGCATTACAATATCTATTCTCATACGGCGTCGCGATGGGACGAGCGGCAGCACCGAATCAACGCCCGCTAATCAGAGAGCAGCCGCAACTTGAAATGCCTTGATCTGGCCGCGCTAGAATCCACGATTCATACCGACGAGATAATCACCCTTGAGGCTGGGACCTTTGACACCACAGACAACGTCAAGGCCAAGATCCAAAACAAGAAAGGAATTCCCCACGAAAACAATAATACCCAACGGTCACGGCGCTACGTCAGCCTCATTTCTCGGTCGCGATTGTGAAGAACTTCGCCATTGCTGTTTGTCCCTTCGAGGTGATCTGCTTTTACGACTTAGAGGCTGACGTTTTTCTCGTCTTTTGAACGCCCTACCTCCTGCGCCAGTGGGTTCTCTGCTGCGATTCATTACAATGTCAAGCTCAGCCAGAGTCCGAGCTTCTCCTCTTCTGCTGAAGAAAAACTCCATTCGACAATCACACTTATCTAACCCCACGCAACAAAATCGTTTTAAATCGAGTCTGAGCACAGTAAGCGAAGCCTTTAGAGCGAAAAATCTGAGGCGATTTATTTCGAAACACCTTGCGGTGGCCCCGAGGCGATTTCATTAACATTGAACTCCATAAGACGGACGCCGAGCGATATTAGTCACAGCCACTCCATGCGCCGACTGTCTCCGGATTCGGAGCCCCTGGCGCATGACGCCTTTGGGCCGGTCGAGCCTTCGAATTCGGAGCCTCATCGGCGCGATTGACCGCGCGTAACACATGCAAAATATATATTTAATGAAGAGTGCTCATGAAAAGCTGGCATATAACCGTTCGAAATTAAAATGACTAGCTGACTCGGGCTGGTCAATGTTTATGAATAAAACACATGCAAACACGTGTGTGCCAAATGCAAATTACAATGAAACTTTTAAAATAGGACATTTTATTCAATCAAGCAATAATTACACAATTGCGAACGCGATCCGCGTTCGAACGTTACATTGAGTGTTTTTACATAACATCTCCCTCATCTTCACTCTACTCGACTTCAAAGGCAACAAATGGAAGATGGTTACATTGGTACCGTGGCAATGCCGAGTCGACGCCCATTGCTCGGAGAGCTTCTTTGGCCTGAAGCACCTTGATCTAACCGTGCTTAAATCCACGATTTTCGCATCGTCAAACTTTCTTGGCGAGTTTTTCGTTAGTCTTATGTATCCCGACTTTCCGGCCATCGTGGAAGCCTTTTTCATAGGCCCTCCCCTTCGTGGATTCCATCGCGAACATGCTCGCCGTATCCGCGGTACTGATAAGCCGTTGAGTGAACCTTTCTTCCACGATTGGGTTAGCCTGTCCGAGGGGTTGTCCGTGAATGGCCTTGACCTTCCTTAGCTCACGTTCAGCCTCTTCTCTATTTCTCGGCAGGCAGCACGGAGATGCATGCCGATTTCGTAGACGGTGTAGAGCCCCTTCACCGCACCATGAATGCCTTCACGAAACACTTCAAAGTCCTGCCGACCTACCATCGACTGCTGGACCTCGGGAGGAAAAATCTATCCAACAAATTCGACCGCCACACTTGAATCTCGAATGATCGAGTTCACATCTGTCATGGGTCTATTCCCCACGTAGACTGCGAAGCTCAATGGGTGTGGGTTCACACCGGGCTCCTTTCCAGAACGAGGTTGCGGGGATTTGCCCTGTGGCTCCTTGTCCCCCCTAGGCGACCTACTTCGACGACAAGGAGATCCACGTCTCTCCCGATCCCTCGAAGTCCTGCCTCCCGCCCGCGAAGGTTCGCCACTTCGATTCATGTTTCCTCCCAGCTCCCCTAGCATCCTCGTTTCCCCTTTACTGTTAAAAAAGAGCCTATTTGACATTCGCGCTCGTTTATTCTTCGTCAAAGACCTGAACTGAGTTGCTCACTAAGCACGTAAATAGGACCTTCATTCATTTATTCCCTACGATGGCAGCGTCATCGAGGCAATCTCATTAATATCGAAACCTCAACAGCTCGGCGCCGACCCAGTCGTGCCCCCATCACACACTGTTATTCGGCGTTTAATGTTCGCGAACTAGCTGGGGCAAGGACAGATTCATCAATCTATCCGGCTTGAGTGCCGCAGCCGCTTCACGAATCAACTAATCAATATTGTATGATTCGGCGTTTAATATCCGCGAACCAGCTAGGGCAAGGGCAGATTCATCAATCTATCCGGCTTGAGTGCCGCAACCGCTTCACGAATCGACTAATCAATATTGTATAATTCGGCGTTTAATGTCCATGAACCAGCTGGGGCAAGGGCAGATTCATCAATCTATCCGGTTTGAGTGCCGCAGCCGTTTCACGAATCGACTAATCAATATTGTATGATTCGGCGATTAATGTTCGCGAACCAGCTGGGGGAAGGACAGATTCATCAATCGATCCGGCTTGAGTGCCACAGCTGCTTCACGAATCGACTAATCAATATTGTATGATTCAGCGTTTAATGTTTGCGAACTAGCTAGGGCAAGAGCAGATTCATCAATCTATCCGGCTCGAGTGCCGCAGCCGCCTCACGAATCGACTAATCAATATTGTATGATTCGGCGTTTAATGTCCGCGAACCAGCTGGGGCAAGGGCAGATTTATCAATCTATCCGGCTTGAGTACCGCAGCCGCTTCACAAATCGACTAATCAATATTGTATGATTCGGCGTTTAATGTCCGCGAACCAGCTAGGGCAAGGGCAGATTCATCAATCCATCCGGCTTGAGTGCCGCAACCGCTTCATGAATTGACTAATCAATATTGTATGATTCGGCATTTAATGTTCGCGAACCAATTGGGGCAAGGGCAGATTCATCAATTTATCCAGCTCGAGTGCCGCAGCCGCTTCACGAATCGATTTACTAGTCCTATTCGGTACCAAGAGTCCGTTTACTTGTTCGGATAAATTAAAGTTTAACTAATATAATTGCCAAGATTACACTGATTCCAATCACTGGTTAGAAGGCACAACAGACATTAATCATTTTATCCAAAGTAATGGAAGGCAAAACTCTTCATTAATATTAGAAACTTCGTACAAATAATAGTGAAATGGGAAGGAAATTTTCATTAATAAATTGAGCACAGATAGTAACTAATTTATACATGAAAATTACCTTGAACTAACAAGGATCCACTAAACAAAAACGTACATCGAAATTAAAGATACCTAATAAAACTAGAATGTCTCCCAAATCAATCCTCGGAATCAGACTCAAGTGGCTCAATGTCCACTTGCTTGTATGGAATTGGCAAGGCCAATGTAACTCCAGCAGAAGCAAGGGCTTTGAGCCATCCATGTTTGAATCCTCGATTCTCGAATTTGGGGACCTCATCTATGTATTCCTTCAAGGCGGCACTCTTCCCAGCTTCTAGCGCCATAGAAGCTTCAGATTCGGCTTTTTTCTTGGCCGCCTTCAATTCTTCTAACTCGGCCTCTGCCTTGGAAAGCGCCTCCTGGGTTAACTTGAGCGACTCCTCGCTCGCGTTCGCCCTATCCTCGGCTTCGGATCTAAGCTAGTCAGCAGTCCGAGCCCTTTCCTTTTCAGCTTCAGCTCGAGCACTTTCCATTGCGGCTCTCATTGCCTTGAACTCGGCCCTACTTCTTTCACCCTCAGCTTCAACCTTTAAGCGGCCAATTCTTTCAATGGCATCATGCTGCCGGCGGCCTAGTTCGACTATCCTTCCAACCGTCTGCAAAACAAGTTTAGATCGCCACATCGAGCAACGTCGTACGCAAACCAAACAAAACGATCAAAAATGAAAGTATCGTACACATACCAGAAGGGCTGACTGGGCAGCGAACGCTAGAGCTACCAAATCCGGCTCTTCTCGAAAGGTGGCCTTGTCAGCCGGTAGCGAAACTGAGGTGGCCAAGCTCAACGCCACGGCTGGAACCTTCATGGCAGATGCGTCAGCGGAGATTGGCGTGTCTTTGATCTTTGGTTGAACAACGAAGAGGACAACCACGTCGGACTCCTCTAAGTGAGGCCGTTTGTCAGCAGGGCTATCCTCTGAGCCGGCCTCTTCCTCGGCGGAACATTTTTCGCCCTGCTCTTTTGAAACCAGCCATTCTTCCGTAACCTACTGTTCAGCTCCCTCCGTCTCGGCCACAACAACTTGAACCGTTTCTTCTCCAGTAACCGGTTGTATAGATTCAATCGGGGCAGGCTCAGAACGAGTGGCCTCGGCTTTCTTTCGGGCGGCCATTCTCTCGGCATTTTTCTTTCTCGCTATCTACGTGAGATTTTTCCCAGCCATGCCTTCAGAAAAAGCGCTAGGTAGATCTCCCAAGTTTGTAAAAATGTCTCCAAAGGAAAACTCTGCCCGACCCGAAGTGGACGGAGAGTTAGGCTCATTAAGATCGGCTGCCGCAAACGTTGATTTGAGGGCTTTGTCGACTTCTTCGGCCTCTGTAGCGAACACCTTCGTTGATTCAGCAACTACTTCGACCACTGGCTCTAAGTCTTGCTCCGAATCAGAAGCTTCAAGACCAATTTGCCTGAGGGTCTTGAAGCTGGGGAAGACAAGAGCCGTAAGGTGTTGTTCACTGGTTGGGATCGGAATATCGTCCGCGGCCGAGAATGTGATATAAGTAGGCTCGTACCGCAGGAGAATATGGGCAGCTCTCCCTTGCTTCTGTACGTTCAGACGACCAAAGTACTTTAGTGCTGTCTTAATTTCTGCAAGGACTGCGTCGTCAGCTGAGGTCAAAATCCTCTTTAACTTATTGCTTGCAAGAATAAAGGGTAAGGCTTGGAGAAAACGCCGCATGAAAGAAAGATCAACAAACGAGGAGTTATACGGCAACCTGGTTCACCCTTCCGTCTGGGAGTAGGGTCTAGGCGATCTTCGCCCTCGCCGAATTCCCAGTTACCTCGGACATTGACCATTACATCGTTAACTCGTTTGCTAGAGCTAGCAAGCATCGTCACCAAGTGATGGTCGGTGTCTTTGGCCTTGAGAAAGTAGCACCCGAGCCGACCGAAGGATTTGGCTAAAGCATAGCAGTGCTGAATCGCCGGAATGTCGAGGTTGATCCTGAGATGCCGGTTCAACTCTACGATTCCCATTATGATTCGAAAAAAGTTTACATTGGGTTGCGAAGGAATCAGACTCCAATAGCGGAGGACGGCCCTAAGAAATGGGTGTAGGGGAAAGCGAACTCCGCCCTCCATAATAGATAGGAGAGGGAAGACGATTGTATTTTGCTCGTCCCTTTCCATATCAAGGGTATTGTCCGTTACCAGAGCAAGATGGACATCCTCAGGAATAGAAAAATGTTTTCGGAACCCAGAAATTCGACCCTCGGAAAGGGGGTCTTTCAAATGCTTAGCCATTCTAGCAAGGACTCAAGGATATCCTAAATCAAAAATAAATACGGAAAATAGGATTGCAAGGAGAAGAGAAGAAAACTTACGAAAGGCAAAGGAGAAAAGGAGAGAACAGATAAGAGTTGCAGAAAACGCGTCGAAGAAGAGATACTGACTGGCAGTCCAGGAAGTTCAAATATTTGAAAAAGTATGTTTTCGAAGGGACTTAAGTTTCAAATCGTAATAAATGCGAGAGAAGCACGAATGGGGAGGGAAAGCGTTACAATGACCAAAGAGCACGCACGCATTCTGACACGCATCGGGAAGAGGATTAACTGCCCAATTTTTTGACTTCTAGCCAAACACGCCGACTAACTGATGCTAGCGAGGTGTTTGGAGGGCAATTATGGGAGCCGAATAACTGGAATAATCAGAAGCATACTCTAGAAGACAAATATCACACGGCTATACTCTGTACGATAAGGATGCCGAACATAATAGACGGGCCGAACAGATACTGAACCATGGAGCCGAGTAAATAAGAGGACGATGAGCGACAAGTGGGCCTAGCCATGAGGCCCAGGAAACAAGTACAAATAAAGGAACAACAGACTACGAAAGGTATGTGAGAATTGTAGTGCTTAACTTAGAATATAAGTATTCCTGAGTGTGGTTACTGACTTGTCCGTCGGAGTGCTGATTTCGGCATCCCCGCCGGAGTATTATATTCTTTTTCAGGTGACCGGAAGAGGATCACGAGCGTTCCCCAGAATCAGAAGAGTATTTCCAAACCACTTCTCCACAACCACAATTCCAAACATTTGTGCATCTTTGTCTAGAGAGAGTAACAATTTTTTATTTTATTTTTACTGTGGGGGCCGAATAATGGAAAGATCAGATGGTGTGTATCTTTGGAAGACTGATATTAATCAGCTATATCCTACGAGAATGGGGAGCCGAATAGAATATATGTGCCGAATAAAGTATAAGTACTTAGGGCCGAATAAAGGAAAGGACAATGATTAAAAAGTAGGCCTTGGCCCCGAGGATCAAGAAGAACAGGTATAAATACAGGAACAATGGTTATAGAAAGGTATGTAAGAATCACTTCACAAAACTGGTAAATAGGCTATCTTGAGTGTCTGAACTAACTTGTCTGTCGGAGTGCTAATTCCGGCACCCCGGACCGGAGTGTTTATTTCTTTTCAGGTGACTAGCTGAGGATCACTAGCGTCTCCCAGGATCCGAAGAGTATTTCCAAACCACTTCCCCACAATTGGCGCCGTCTGTGGGAATACTCAAATACATCCATGGCAGGCGTGACTGAAGATCCTCCGGTAGCCATTAACGAGACCGCACAGGGAGATGACCTCACTCCAGCAAATATGCTCGGAAAAGAAACCATCGCTGTAAGACGCACCTTGAACTTCGACTCACCAACGACCTCAACGCAAGAGACAATGCAAGCGATCATTGAACAAGCAAAGCAGAATGAACAAAGGCTGGAGAACATGATTGCTGAAAACGAACATCTCCGTCAAGATTTGGCCCTCGAAGTCACAAAATCGAGAGAAGCCATGTGCCAAGATCCCGAACGACCTCCGAGGGCCTATGGACAACGACCTCGAGCCCGACCAAAGGATACCGATAGCGACTCCAACTCATTAACCACGGAGCTCAACGAGAAGAGACGATCCGAAACTTCCAGCTCCTCCAAAAAGAGTCCGCATACAAGGAACAAGCATAGGAGGAGCAGTTCAGACGAAGAGGACCAGCACGATCCTTTTGTCCGACGGATTGCAAGGGCGACCCTGCCTAAGAAGTTCAAAGTTCCATCATTCACTCTTTACGATGGAAAATCAGACTCCACTGATCATATCCGTCACTATAAGCAGGCCATGACATTGCATGCAGACAATGAAGCCTTCATGTGCCGAATATTCCCTAGCAGCCTGGGGTCGTTAGCTGTCAGGTGGTATTACAAGTTGGAGCCGGCCTCAATCAAAAGCTTCTATCGATTACAAAAATCCTTCAGGGCCAGGTTCATCACCAACGAGGTGCAACCGAAACAGGCCGACTCTCTCTGGGCTATGCAGATTCAGTCAAGAGAAACGCTTAGAGCGTATTCAGCGCGCTATTGGGAGTGCTTCAACCTCATTGACGACGCTTGCAACGACTCCATGGCCATCACTGCCTTCAAAATGGAACTGCATCCTGAAAGTCCCCTTCGCAGTTCCCTGACCAAAAGACCCCCCAAAATAGTCTGGGCGTTGATGAAGAAAGTTGAAGAGTATTGCAAGGTGGAAGACGATGCCTTAAGAATAAAAGCCGGCTAAATGTCCAACAAAATGGCCCCCCCTGAAATTGCTCAACCAATAAGTTCCGCGTCACCTCATAGCCCAGAGCCTCGGCAACGCGCTAAACGAGATAAAATGAGGGATACTCGTCGATCAAGCGATCAATGCTCCCACCGGACGAATGAACAACTGCAAGTCGACAGCAGGCGTTCGAGACGTGCCGACAAGAAGTACACAGAGTTGTCAGAACCGATCGCTGTAATAATGACCAAAGTCCAACACCTTCCATTCTTCAAATGGCCGTCAAAGATGGTGGGGCCGCCCGACATGCGAAGAAGGAATAGGCGGTGCGAATATCACAAAGATCACGGCCACGAAACGGAGAGTTGTTACGCATTAAAAGATCACCTGGAAGAACTGGTGCAAGACGGCCGACTGCAACAGTACGTGAGAAAGGAAAAGCAACCACGGCACTAGCCTTGAGGCAGGACTCACCTCCACTTGGCGTGATCCATATGATCTACAGCCTGCCTGAACCCCCAGCCGTGCACACAATTCAATCGCATCCAATCCCCCAAAAGCAACGTATTCCGATTGAATGGCCCAAAGAAGCTCCGACAATTACTTACAATGACTCTGATCTTAGCGGCACAACAGCTTCCCACATCGATCCGTTGGTCATTAAATTATGCATAAATCAGTTCACCATCAAACGCATTCTCATAGACCCGGGGAGTACTTCAGAGGTTATTTACTACCAAACTTTCATCAAACTCGGCCTCAACAAGTCAGATCTGTCTCCGTCGCCTTACCCATTGTTCAGCTTTAATATGAATCTCGAATATCCGTTAGAGAAAATCATACTACCTGTTCGAGCGGGTTCCAGAACGGTCGAAGTAGAATTCCTGGTCGTAAAGCTCCCTTCGCCGTATAATGTCATTATGGGGCGAACCTGGATACATATGATGAAGGCTGTTCTAAGCACTTATCATCAGCTTGTGTGCTTCTCGACAGCCCATGGCATTGAAGAAATCCATGGCTCCCCCCAATCAGTACAAGCAGAGACTTAATGAAAACCCTATCACTGACCCGATCTGTGGGCTTTGATACTTGTATATGTATCACTTCTACAATGTAAACCATTTTTCTTCGTGGCTCCATTCATCTCTCAAAATCTCTAGATTCGGAGCCCCCTTTGGTGCATGACACCTTAGGGCCGACTAAGTCTCCGGATTCAGAGCCTCCTTTGGTGCATGACACCTTAAGGCCGACTAAGTCTCCGGATTCAGAGTGCCCTTCGTGGATATCACGATTGGCCAAACAAAGTCTCCGGATTCGGAAGCCCCCTTTGGTGTATGACACCTTAGGGCTGATTAAAGTCTTCGGATTCGGAGCCCCCTTTGGTGCATGACACCTTAGGGCCGACTAAGTCTCCAGATTCGGAGCGCCATTCGTGGATATCACGATTGGCCAAACAAAGTCTCCGGATTCGGAGCCCCCTTTGGTGCATGACACTTTAGGGCCGATTAAAGTCTTCGGATTCGAAGCCCCCTTTAGTGCATGACACCTTAGGACCGACTAAGTCTCCGGATTCGGAGTCCCCCTTTGGTGCATGACGCCTTAGGGCCAATTAAAGTCTCCGAATTCGGAGCCCCCTTTGTTGCATGACACCTTAGGGCCGACTAAGTCTCCGGATTCGGAGCGCCCTTCGTAGATATCACGATTGGCCAAATAGTCTCCGGATTCAGAGCCCCCTTTGGTGCATGACACCTTAGGGCTGACTAAGTCTCCAGATTCGGAACGCCCTTCGTGGATATCACGATTGGCCAAACAAAGTCTCCGGATTTAGAGCCCCCTTTGGTGCATGACACCTTAGGGCCGATTAAAGTCTCCGGATTCGGAGCCCCCTTTGGTGCATGACACCTTAGGGCCGACTAAGTCTCCGGATTCAGAGCGCCATTCGTGGATATCACGATTCGCCAAATAGTCTCCGGATTCGGAGCCCCTTTTGGTGCATGACACCTTAGGGCCGAACAAAGTCTCCGGATTCGGAGCCCCCTTTGGTGCATGACACCTTAGGGCCGATTAAAGTCTCTGGATTCGGAGCCCCCTTTGGTGCTTGACACCTTAGGGCTGACTAAGTCTCCGGATTCAGAGCGGCCTTCGTGGATATCACGATTGGCCAAACAAAGTCTCTGGATTCGGAGCCCCATTTGGTGCATGACACCTTAGGGCCGATTAAAGTCTTCAGATTCGGAGCCCCCTTTGGTGCATGGCACCTTAGGGCCGATTAAAGTCTCTGGATTCGGAGCGCCCTTCCTGGATATCACGATTGGCCAAACAAAGTCTCCGGATTCGGAGCCCCCCTTTGGTGCATAACACCTTAGGGCCGATCAAAGTCTCCGGATTCGGAGCCCCCTTTGGTGCATAATACCTTAGGGCCGATTAAAGTCTCCGGATTCGGAGCCCTCCCCTTCGGTGCATGACACCTTAGGGCCGACTAAGACTCCGGATTCGGAGCGCCCTTCGTGGATATCACTATTGGCCAAATTAAGTCTCACGATTCGGAGCAACCTTTGGCACGAACAAAACAAAATTCGCCAACATCGCAAATAAGGTGCTTAACTAAGCATATAAAAAAATTCAGAATAAAACGCAAATGTTCAAAATAAAGCTTTTTGTTTAATCAAGCAGTTGTTACATAAACGCAACCCGCATTTGAGCATTACAATTTTTATTTAATCACACAGTTGTTACATAAACGCAACTTGCATTTGAGCATTACAATACCCATCTCCAAACTTAAAAGCTAAAAAAGGGAGAAGATGCATTAGTAAAACGGCAGCGCCGAATCACCTCCCGTCACCCGAAAGTCCTCCGCGGTTTGCAATGCCTTAAGCCAACTGTGCCCAAGTCCTCCACTGATACCATTGACAATGTCAAGGCAAAGATCCAAGACAAGGAAGGATAAAAACCCGACGGTCGTTGCCTTTCCTTTCGGGGTGATCTGCTTCGACGACTCGAAGATTCATGCCAACGTTTGGACGCCCTACTTCCCATACGGATGGGTCCTCTGCCGCGCTCCATGGCAACACCAAGATCGGCTGAACTCTAGTCTCTCTAACTAACATCCCCACTTATTCCACCACACATGAGTGATTGTTTATCTGCGCGAAGTGCCCATTCCTTTTATTTCCAATACTGGCAGCGATCTCAAGGCCCCAATCCCGAGGCGATTTCATTAACTCTAAACTCCACTAGAAAAACGTCGGTTGACATTCGCCACGGCATAGTTATCCAAACGACTTTTTGAAGCACGTGCACCGTCCAAAAATCTAGGCCCCGAGCCGAGTTAAATTTTTCGCAGCCACCTTACCCACTGGCTTTTGGCTTCCTTAAGTTACAATAGCCTCATTCAGGGATAAACGGCTATCACGTATGGGTCGACCCTGCCGATCAACGTTTATACATCCATTCAAACATATACAGAAACGAAACGCATACATACCAAATACGAACTGCAACAAAATATTTATCATAGAACGCTTTTTATTTGATAAAACAGGCAATATATTACATAGTTTTCAACACGATCCGCGTTTCAACCTTACAACAAGTACACTTATACGGCGTCACCCTCATCCTCACTCTTCTCGACCTCAAAAGAAGAAAACGGAAAATGTTTACTATGGTAGAATGGCGATGCCGAATCAATGCCCGACGCTCGAAGAGCTTCTGCGGCTTGAGATGCCATGATCCAACCGTGCCTAAATCCACGATTTTCACATCGGCAAACTTCTTCGGCAAGTTTTTCCTTTGTCTTTTCGATTCCAACTTTTTGGCCATCATGAAAGCCTTTCTCATAGGCCCTCCCCTTCGCGTTCTCCAGTGCGAACATACTCACCGTCTCACGATCGGCAAGCGCGGAACTGATGAGCCGACTAGTAACCCTTTCTTCCACGATTGGGTTTCCGTGCCCAGCGGTTTGTGCCTGGGCCGCCTTGCTCTTCCTTAACTCGTGTTCAGCTGCCACTGCACGAGCCTCCAAACTTCGAATACGTTCCTCTTTCTTCTCCATCTCTCGGCGGGCAGCGCGCAACCGCATGCCGATTTCATAGGCAGTGTAAAGCCCCTTCACTGCCCGTGAATGCCTTTGTGAAATACTTCGTAGTCCTGACGACCTACCATCGATTGCTGAACCTCAGGAGGAAAAATTTGTCGAGCAAACTCGACCGCTACATTTGGGTTCCGCACGATCGAATCCGCCTCTATCATGGGTCTATTCCCCACAAACACCGCAAAGCTTAATGGGCACGGATTCGAGTCAGATCCCTTCTCAACTCAAGGTTAAGAAGACCTGCCCTGCGACTGCTTGTCCCGCCTAGGCGACCTGCTCCGACGTCGGGGAGACTGACGCCTCTCTCGATCCCTGGAACTCCTACCCCCGGTGCGCGAAGGGTCACCACCTCGATGCATGTCTCTATCCAGCTCAGCTAGCGTCTTCGCTTCCCCTCTGCTATTAAAGAAAAGTCTGTTTGACATTCACACGATTCCTTCAAAAATTGGAGTCAGTTGTTTATTGTATTCATAAAAGTTGTTCCCATAATCATTTATCCTTCACAGAGGCAGCGCTCTTGAGGCAATTTCATTAATTGTGAAAACCTCAATCACCCAGCGCCGACTGGATAGACCCGTCGGCGCCCGAATGATCATTCCGGCCTTGGGCAAGGGCGGGATAGATTAATGAATCCATTCGGCTTAGGTGCCCCAGTCGGCTCACGAATCGATTTCAGAATGATCATGCCCAGCCTGGGGCAAGGGCGTGATAGATTAATCAATATATTCGGCTTAGGTGCCCCAGTCGGCTCACGAATCGACCTCAGAATGATCATGCCCGCCTGGGGCAAGGGCGTGATAGATTAATCAATATATTCAGCTTAAGTGCCCCAGTCGGCTCACGAATCGACTTCAGAATGATCATGCCCAGCCTGGGGCAAGGGCGGGATAGATTAATGAATCCATTCGGCTTAGGTGCCCCAGCCGGCTCATGAATCGATTTCAGAATAATCATGCCCGCCTGGGGCAAGGGTGTGATAGATTAATGAATCCATTCGGCTTAGGTGCCCCAGCCGGCTCACGAATCAACTTTAGAATGATCATGACTGCCTGGGGCAAGGGCGGGATAGATTAATGAATCTATTCGGCTTAGGTGCTCCAGTCGGCTTACGAATCGACTTCAGAATAATCATGCCCGCCTGGGGCAAGGACGTGATAGATTAATCAATCTATTCGACTTATGTGCCCCAGCCGGCTCACGAATCGACTTCAGAATGATCATGCCCCGCCTGTGGCAAGGGCGTGATAGATTTATCAATACATTCGGCTTAAGTGCCCCAGCCATCCCATGAATCGACAACAAAACTAAGTTTGCCTCCTCAGGCGCACGAATGATCATGCACCGCCTGGGGCAAAGGCAGATTAATCATGATATTCAATCATAGAAAGGTCAACTGAGTAGTCATTCTAACTAAAGTAGTGAAAGGCAAACATTCTACACCAACATAACATCACAAACTGCGCATTAGTAGTGACACAAGAAGATAATTTTCATTAATAAACTAAGCGCAGACAATAGCCAATTTATACATGAAAACTCCTCAGAACCAACAAAAGTCCTAAAAACAAAAACATACATTAAAAGGGAAAGTATTTCATAACATTCGACTGACTCCCAGATCAATCCTTAGGGTCAGACTCAAGTGGCTCAACATCCACCTACTCATAAGGAATTGGCAAGGCCAATGTAACCCCAGCGGCACCAAGGGCCTTAAGCCACCCGTGTTTGAACCCCCGATTCTCAAACCTGGGGACTTCATCTACATATTCTTTAAAGGCGGCGCCTTTTCTTGCTTCGAATGCGACAGAAGCCTCAGATTCTATCTTTTCCTTGGTCGCCTTCAACTCTGCTAACTCAATCTCCATCCTGGTAAGCGCCTCCTCGGCTAGCCTAAGCGATTCTTTGCTCACGTTCGCCCTATCTTCGGCTTCAGAACGGTGCTGATCGGCAGCCTGAGCCCTTTTCGCTTCGGCTTCGGCTCGCGCAGCCTCCATAGCGGCCCTCATCATCTCAAACTCGGCCCTACTCTTTTGATCGACCACTTCGGACTGCAAACGGTTAATCCTCTCAAGGGCATCGTGTAGACGGCGGCCTAAGTCAGCGATCCTGCTGACCATCTGCAAAACGAGTTGCGATCGTTAGATGCCATAGGCAACCAAAATCAAAACAAGTCAAAGTTCACCTACCAAAAGGGCCGACTGCACAGATAGGGCTATGGCCACCAAATCCGGCACGGCATGAAAGGACGCCTTATTAGCTGGTAGGGAGACTGAGGCTGCCAGGCTCAAGGCTACCGTCGGGTCGGTAATGGTGGATGCATCAGAAGGAATCAGCATGTCTCTAATCTTTGGCTGAACAATAAAAGGAACAACCACGTCCGATTCTTCTAAGCGAGGCCTTTTGTCGGCAAGACTATCTTCTGAACCAGCCTCTCCCTCAGCGCTACGCTTCTTGCCCCGCTCTTCTGGAATCAACCGTTCATCAATGACCAATTGTTCGACCTCTTTCGCCTTTTCGACCTCAACAATCTTAGCCGACTTTTCAATAACGGGTTCAGAAGACTCAACTAAGGCAGGTCCAGAACGGGCGGCCTCGGCCTTTTTCCGGGCAGCCATACGCTCGGCATTTTTCTTTCAAGCCATTTGCGTGAGGCTTTCCCCAGCCATACCTTCAAAAAAATCGCCGGGTAAATCTCCCAAACCTCCAAAAATATCTCCAAAAGGAAACTCGGCCCGACCCAAAATGGACGGCGAGGTATGCTGACTACGTCTGGCTGTCTCAAACGCTGAGTTTAGGACCTCGCCAACCTCTTCGGCCTCCTCAGCGAACTCTCTGTCTGGTTCGACGACTACCTCTACCACCGGCTTGACGTCTTGCCCCGAGTTAGAGGCCTCGAGGCCAACTTGTCTGAGACTCTTGAAGCTAGGGAAAATAAGAGCCGCAAGCTGTTGATCGCCGGATGGAATTGGAATATTGTCAGTGACCGAAAAAGTAGTGTAAGTAGGCTCGTATCGAAGAAGTATGTGGGCCGCTCTCCCTTGCTCTGTAAGTTCGGATGGCCGAAGTATCCGAGTGCAGTCGCAACCTGCGAAAGGACCGCGTCGTCGGCAGAAACCAGAATCTTCTTCAAATTACTGCCTGCAAAGGCAAGGGGTTAGACACAGCGGGAAAGCCGAATAAAAGAAAAGTTCAGTAAAACACAAAGAGGCACACGGCAACCTGGTTCACCCCTCCATTTGGGAATAGGGTCTAGGCGATCCTCGCCTTCGCCAAATTTCCAGTTCCCTCGGATATTGACCATTACGTCATCCACACGCTTGCCAGAACTGGCGAGCATGGTTACCAAATGATGGTCAGTATCCTTGGCCCTAAGAAAGTACTGCCCAAGCCGACCGGAGGATTTGGATAAAGCATAGCAGTGCCGAATGGCCGGAACCCCAAGGTCGATCCTGAGGCGCCGGTTCAACTCTACGATCCCCATTACGATCCGAAAAAAGTTCACGTTGGGCTGAGAAGGAATCAGACCCCAATAGCGGAGGGCGGCCCTAAGGAACGAATGTAGGGGAAAGCGAACCCCGCCCTCTTCAATGGATAGAAGAGGAAAGACGATTGAATTTTGATCCTCTCTCTCCATGTCCAGACTGTTGTCCGTCACTAGAGATAGATGAACATCGTCGGGGATAAAAAAGTATCGCCGGAATCCGGAGACACGACCCTCAGAAAGGAGGTCTTTCAAGTGTTTGGCCATTTTCACGGGGAATAAAGGGTTCACCAAAATGAAAGCGATAAACAAAAAGTAAGATTGCAAAGAAAAGAGAAGAAGACTTACGAGGAACAAGGGAGACGGAGGTAGACGGAGAAGAGTTGCAGAGAATGCGAGTCAGAGAAGGGATATCTGCTGGCGGTCCAAGAGTCTCGAATACTCGACGAACTGTGCATTCGAAAGGACTGAAATTTCAAATCACAATAAATGCGAGGCGCAAGGTTGAGGCGGGAAAGCGTAATGATGAACGAAAAGGTGTGCGCATCCTAACATCTATATTGGGGTACGCGAAGCCGCCTGACCTATTTTAACCTTTCCAATTCAAGACCGAACACGCCGATTAACTTCGTCAATGGGCAGTTCGGAGGGCAATTGTGGGGGCCGAATAATGGAAAGATCAGATGGTGTGTATCTTTGGAAGACTGATATTAATCGGCTATATCCTACGAGAGCGGGGAGCCAAATAGAATATATGTGCCGAATAAAGTATAAGTACTTAGGGCCGAATAAAGGAAAGGACAATGATTAAAAAGTAGGCCCTGGCCCCGAGGATCAAGAAGAACATGTATAAATACAAGAACAACGGTTATAGAAAGGTATATAAGAATCACTTCACAAAACTGGTAAATAGGCTATCCTGAGCGTCTGAACTAACTTGTCCGTCGGAGTGCTAATTCCGGCACCCCCGACCGGAGTGTTTATTTCTTTTCAGGTGACTAGCTGAGGATCACTAACGTCTCCCAAGATCCGAAGAGTATTTCCAAACCACTTCCCTACATTTACAACACATGCCATTCTCCTATTTGTTATTTTAAATTAATATAAAACAAAAATATTATTTTTACCATGAGCCCTATTACATAGAATGAACTCTCATTCCCCAACCACCACCCTTTCCCCACCAATCTCCCTCCTAGAATCACTTTATCTCCTCCGACAATGCCACCTTTCCCCGCTATCTCTTATTTTCCCAACGGTGTCACTTTCCTACACCGCTCCACCATCCCCAAGTGGCACCTCCTTCCCCAAATGAGCCCTACCTTAGCACCGTGTCCTTGTTCTCCGACAACATCTCTTTGTAAAACAAAATAAAATGAAAAAAATAAAAGAAAATCCAACATAAAGAGATTTACCATTGTGGTTTGATCTTATGTCATAGTTGTGGCCATATGATGTGGTCTTATTGATGTCTTCGATCTAGTGTATAGGAATTAAAGGAATAGGTTGTAGTGGGCTAAAGATGAAGAATGATAGGTAGTATTAGAAGAAAATGAAGGAAGGAGATCGCTGTCTGCTAGTGGTGGGTGTAATAGAATCACAGGGGTGTTAGATTTGATTGAGATGGATGGCAGGAGAGGGTTGCCAACAGTGGATTTGAGTGATGTTGATGGCGATGGGAGGTTGTCAATAGTGGATCTGGTTTATGCATTAAATTATTATTTTTGTTTTCGTAAAATGGTGTCTAGGATGACAAAATAACATTTTTCTCCGCTAGTTTCACTTAACATAAATAGATGGGTGGTTGAGATTAAAATTGAAAATCAAGATTTTGTGGTTTGGGATGATCTAAATAAGTGCACTTTTTGACTTTTTATGAAATATGGATTGGGTATAGGTTGGGTTTGAAGTGATGTGGTAGAGAGCTGATGTGACTTAAATAAGATGATGTGACTTAAATAGAATAATGACTTTTTGACTTTTTGGTTTTTTTAAGTTAAAAATTAAAATTTTAGGATTTAATTTGTTACTAGGGTCAGTTCTCAATTTTTTTAATATATTTTTATTTAAAAAAATTCTTTTAATTTAAGAGGGACAAACAAAAAAATATTTTCAAAATTTTAAATTAAAAAATAAATTTTAAAAAGTTAAGGATATGGTCGTGCCCTCCTAGTTCTTTGTTAGGCCACCGACACCAACTAATCCCACAGGGTGTGTTTGATTGGGGGCATTGGGGGGAGGGGGGGATTATTCACTGTTCGGATTGTTTATTCGAAGGAGGTAGATGTTCATCGTTTGATTAGATTTTTAGTCCACCGGACATGGAGTCCATCTGGACTCCATATCCCTCATATGAGGGACTAAACAATCCTGGGAGGCAGGAGGTGGGTGGTGGTGGGATTATTTCCATGGGATTGGTATCCCATGAGACTAATGTGTGAAGTGTCCATTTTACTCTCATACTATTACTTAGTAAACAATTGGAAAAAGGGTAAAATAGTCTTTTGAACATTTATAAATTATTTTTTTAGTGTTGTTAATTTAAAATTATATATTAAATAAAAATGTAAATTATAAATTATAAATTTAATTTAATTAAAAATAATAAATTAGAAATTATGGCCTTATAAATTAAAAAAATTTAGTATTGTTAAATTATAAATTATAAATTATAGATTACAAATTTAAAAGTATATATTAAATTAAAAATATAAATTATCAATTACAAGTGTAAAATAGTCTTTTGAACATTTATCCTTATCCAGTCCTTTTAACCAAACATTGAATTTATAAAAAATAGTCATTTCCAAATATCTAATCCTATGAGAAAACAAACACAGGATACACATCTAATCGAATTAAATAGTTCGAGGGATTCAGTCTCAAGATTCAAGTCCGATGAATTTCAATCCCCCTTATCCATTCTGTCCAATCAAACACACCCAAAGTGTATTAAAATAAAGGCCTACCACTTTAGGCTCTGTTTGGATTATTATTATTATTATTATTTTCCTAAAATTAAGATTCAGATAAAAAACAGGTTATATGTTTTGATTCTCTCCGTTTTGTAGATTTTATTTCATTTGTAAGATTACATCATATCATAAAAAATTAAAATCAATAGGTTATTACTATCGCGTTATTATAAATTGTAAAAAATAAAAAATTGTCTGTGTTTTAAATTTAAAATAAAATTTTGTTAAAATAGATCGTTTATAACCGTTATTCGTGAAAGAAAATTTCCATTTCATTATAAATAAATGTTAGTAATGGGCGCCCATGTGGCATGACCATTACATTTGAATTTGAATCCTTATCCAAATAGGTTTTGAATTTGAAATCAAACCTATTTAGGATAACCACTCAAGAAACAGATGTTATCAGTTTTAAACTGATATGGATAGATATTATAATATAATATATATCTGTTATATGGTTATGGGTAATCGAAGAGAGAAACAACGTTGAGTCTGTTTTCTACCCATATTCTGACTCTCTCCCAAAAACACAACG